AATAATTTCCATCAAAGTTTACACACCTGTGTTTCGAGGGAGAAAAGTATACAATCTTGCAAAGGAATTGTTAATGATTCTAGCAACATTATCTATAGCTACATGCTACGTCTTGCACTGATACAATTACTATACCATTTGTAGTATTTTCCGTTGGCACGATCGCGACCTGATTGGTCTGTGTCATAGTCTCTAAAAATCATCCGTAGGATCTGCTGATTGGCTTTGTTGCGCCCCATCATTTATTAGAGGGTCTACTTCGGTTGATTTAAGTTTAAAGCCTAAAGGGGTTTGTCCCGGCACAAGTGTTAGAGTCTGTACTGCTTGCTTCCCACCTGCATTGGCGCGCTTACGACCCGATCCCTTCTTCCGGTATTTGGGGCCTACTGCCTGAGCACGCGGCATACTAACTGTGTTTAAGTATTATTCCAATCTGAATTTTGCTCTCATCTACATACGTTCTTGCTTATATCTTCCCATATAATCGTCAATAGAATGGTGTTTATATGGTACCCAGGAATTGTTGTTTGTATCTTATCGCACTTGTTACAAAAACGCCTGGATCAATGATATCGCGCTGTGGGCTCTCTCAAGTAATGAAATGGCGCGCTCCGCGCGCCAGAATATAATCAAACGGTGAGCTCCGCTCACACCTGATATATTCAAAACTTCAAACTGTCGTATTTATATGGTGAGCTAGGCGCAAAGTCCGTCGCATTGGTCCTGACGGGTGGCCCGCTCAAATAACTAAAAGTGTTACTTTGGCGGTCTTTCCGGGGTGCTACTGGTTTAGGGCCACCAGGTTTTACAAAGTACGTTTTCTTAACTAATTTTTGGATTTTTATATTTACATACGTATGTATGTACTATCCAAAACTTTACCGTACTGCTTTATTATTCATTTTGAACGTTTTCCGAGGCTCCAGCCTCCTGGACCAGGACCCTCGGAAAGTGAACCTCAACTCCTCACAAGTCCTCAACGGACAAAGATTTTGGATTTTTCAAGAACAACTCGAAATCATACTAAATACAAGCAATTTCATTCGCCAATTTTATTTATATTTATATTTTCGAGAACTAAATACTTTTATTAGGCGGGCCCTTACTCCTTAGTAAAGTGGACAACAATTGGATTAAATAGACAATTATCGACTCGTTTGACTGTTTGTATTTGTTCTTTTTGGCTATAATTTTAAAAAAATAAACAAAATAAATAAAAAGTGTTTTTTAAACAACTAAATATAGATTTCATATTATTTTGTAAAAAAGAAAAGCAACTTCCTTTTTGTGTATTGAAAAAATATTATATAATCCCTCTCGATTGTTGTCCAAAAATGTAAATAAATATTGTTGATTTTTAAAAAAAATACCAGAAAACAAAAATGCAGTCTGTCGTACAGTGAACAGTCTGACTGTCTGGGCCCTCTGGCCTCTGGGGGGTGAAAACAATATTTTACACGTATTGATATCTGCCCCTGGTCCATTTATGTTCTATTCCAGGACAGGGCCGATTGTATTCTGAATTTCTGACTCGATCACATCTGTCCTAAAAGACCTAAAATGTGTGAAAACGACGGAAATTTCAAATTCCACATAAAAATTTATAAAATTTACAAGAAAAATTCGTAAGCACACACGAATACCAACAAATCGCGTCGAGAGCCAATAAGATCACACAGTTCTGTTGTCAACCTGTCACACAGTCAATCCACTCCCCAGCCAGTCAGCCACTCTCACCCGCGGGCGGGGGGGGGGGTTCGCTGGTTAAAAAGTTGTACCATGCATTTAGTAGTGTATATACTCTCAGACTCTCAATACTTCACAGCGTCACACGAGAGAGTATTTCCGACGACTATGCCGGCGCGTTACTACTCCGGTTGATCTGGGCCGTCAGTTTCTAGCAAAACCATACACGGTAAATAATATATTTACATAAAAAAAGTAAAAGCAACTCAGCAGCCTTCCTCATCATGAATGCAAACATCACACATATACACACTCGAGAACAAGCATATACTGCACAGTATTACACACACTACACACGCACTGGCGAGAACTATTATCTACATACCTCCTGATCAGATTGGACCACCCTGAAAAGCCGCCGGTCTAAGTCATCTAAACTGTGGGGCTACCGTACTCGGTTGAGTTGGCCAACGTGTCACTCTTCACGGAGTGTTCATATTGACTACCCGAGTTACTCACAATAGCTTTGTACGCCAACTACTTACGAAAGCTGTAGCATCAGTTGAATACTCAAATTGATACACTCTATCAGATACGTAGTATGGCACAAAGCATGCAAGTGGACAACAATGTCAACCCTGAGGAGGCTGCCAAATCCTTGCTGGCGGCCAGGAATAAGTTCGAATCCATGCCGTCATTGCATGTGTCACCTATCTCTGATGATGAAACGGGGTGAGTACCTTGTGGTTATGCGTTTTAAGCACATAGTCGTGCACAATTATAAGTAAAGTTTGAAACTTGTTCAAAAATTTGATGGAAAGATATACTTATGTTAAAATTGAATGTCTACTGCGTGCGGCAGAGACTATCGTTAAACAGATGTTTTAAACGGACAAAACCACCACGTCCGTACTTTATATACTGTTTTTTTTGGACGATGGATTGCATATATTTTACCACGTCGAAGCCCACGAGCTTCTTTTCGGTTGCAACGCATCCTATTTTGAAGTCAGATACATGCGTCATCCGCAAAAGTACACTTAAGAATACAATCTTATATAGTCTTTAAAGAAGTTAAATGATACACAAATCCTTGCATTGTATAATAATAAGCATATGAATCGATATGCATATAAGTAAGTTTATTTGCATAGGTATACATGTACGCTTGTGTTCATATTTTCTATATATTTTATATGCATGATATTTACGTTGACACACACATATACATTTATACAA